GAGTTAAAGTTGTATATACAGTTCCAGAAGCATGGGGTCTCTTTCCTTAACCCTTCTGAGTGACTAGCTCTTCCCTCATAGCTTAACACACAGTATTTTCTGCAGAAATTCTTTTTTGATCACCTTTAGACTGTGCTAATCTCACACCCTCTTCTAGGCACAAAGAGTACCCTTGGCTTTTGGGGTTTTTTTTTAATCACTCTGTTCTATTGTAATCGAGAGTTCATCTCTCTCCACCTCTATCTCTTAGGAAGAAACCAGGAAGATGCTCTAGATCAGAAAGCACCCATGTTCCTCTTTGCACACTTGACTTTTAGTAACTGGTGGTATTTTAAATTTAATATATATTTAAAATAAGAATAGGTGAATGGATGCATGAAATGAATGAATAAATATTAGATAGGACATCAGTGACTTGTAACATTTTAAACGGTTCATATGTTCAGATTTGCTAGGTGAGTTTCCTTAACTGAGTAGAGATGAAGGGTCTGCATACCGTCTTTCAGCTGCACTCATGGTGAGGGTCCTTCCTGGAGGCTAGGATTACATGCCTTTAGAGGCTCAATCTCTTTTCTGCATTTCTCTATTTTAGCTGCATCTGGTTTGACCATAGGAAACTTAGAAATGAACAGCTCACACATTTACAATTAGAAAATACAAGTGAGTGTATGCGTAAGCATGTGTGAGGGTGTGTGTGTGTGTGCGCGCACACATGCAGGGGGCAAAGGGAGGAGGCCGTGAAATAGCCAGAAGGGTGTTGGTAAACTTCTGGCTACCAAGGTCAACAACATTTGTTTTCTTTCGTCCCAATAGAGAGCCAAGCTACCAAAAGAACCTTGTTTAAAAATGCATTATACAGTGTTGTCCCGAACAGCTTCTTAGAATTGGTTTTTCACCTCTGTTATTTTTACATTAAAGTGCAGTGAGGCTGCTGTACATCAAGTCCTCCTGTGAGTTTTGAAATGGAGCACTGTGGTCGGCAAAGGAGGCAGAACACTCATTTCTTGAATTCAAGTAACTGGCTCCAAAAGGAGATATGAGCCACTCCTGACCTTCAGCTCCACAGCAGTAACCCAGACCCTTCACAGTGTTCTTTCCCTTCACGAAAAATAGTAGCTATAGCAAGGCTTTCAAGAGACTTTGAAATAGCTAGAAAGACTTTCTTTACCTTATCTTTATTTCTTTTCTTTAAAGACCCTGAAGAAAGTGCTGAAAGCAGCAATTCCATGAGCACCTACTAGACAAATTTCTTGCATTAGTATGTTGTTTAAATATTCCAGAAAATGTGAAGTACGTGATCATGCAGTTAAGCTCAACACCATAAAGAGAAGCCACTATTTAAATCTGGAATGGATAGACATTTGCTAATGTCAAAGAATTGCTTATTGAAATTATTCTGCAAAAATCTGATGAAAGATTTTCTCCATACCACCCCCGTCACCACCACCAATAGCACCACTCACCATCTGTCCACCCACAGCACCACCGAAGAGGTGACATTTATTGCAAGCTTGGCATTTTCTGACTCCGTCTTGGACCACAGAAATTATGCTGAATTCCCCAAAAGAAATGAAGTTGTTTTTACTCTTTCTCCATCTCTCTTTATTTTTTGCCTGACTCGTAACAGGAAGTTCTTGGAAACCTCCCCAAGAATGGCTGGTCTTGTAAGTGTCCCAAACCAATCTTGGAGGCGCCAGAGTCTTGGTGCATTTGAGGTGAGGGTGAGAGGGGCACCTGCATTGTCCCTTTCAACCAGGCTTCCTGTCACTGAGCCCCAGAAGTTCAGACTCTTGCTTGTCAGTTGCCAACCTGAGTGGGGGAGTTCACAAAAAGGTTTCCCAGGCTTCCCCCCACAGCAGGACACTCGCAAAGCAAACGCCGAGGAAGTATCTCGAAATCCATAGTCAGAAAGGATGCTGGCTTGAACCCCCAGGTCAAGTTATAAACTCCTCCCTATGGAGAGCTTATCCTCCTGACAAATGGCATGTCCAGGAGGGAAGAGCCATGCCGGGACGCCTCCTGGGTCAGATGGGGCAGGTCCTTTTTTCACCTCAAGAGTGATCTGTGGGGCCGCTCACTGGCATTCCTGCTGCATTGGCCCCTGGCGGACTTGAACCTGTCGTCTGCTGCTTCTCTCTCCACCGCGTTGTTAGCCTTCTGGAGGAGGAGCTGGAGGCCCCACAAGAGAAACACTGATCTATTGCATGGAGAGGTAGAGGGGCTGTACCCCATGTTTTTGGGACCTGGCAGTTATTTTAGAGAAGTCACGGGATGGCCGGACGGCGTGAAGACTGCAGGATAAAGGAGCATCACCAAGGTCTTTGGCAGGTCCCAGCAGCCATCCAGCCACTGAGGAGGCAATTCATGATGGCAGTGGAAGGGAAGGGGCTGGGGCCAAATTGTGGTTCAGGAATCTCGTTCTGCTTTTCTTTCTCTTCCTTCGAAGAGTTTTGTTGAGCTCCCACTCTCAACAGCAGTTGAAATGGTGAAATTTTAATTCCCCTCATGGAAGGACTTAGTCGGTTTTTCAGAAAGTTTCCAAAGCCCACAAAATGGATTCCTAATTCAGATCACAGAAGTCCACAAATGTATCATTAGGTATTGATTCAATGGCAGACTCCATGGCTCTGGGCCCCAGGTGAGGCCGAGCGTCATGGTGGAAGGGTATGGCAGAGGAAGACTTCTCAGTTCACAGCAGCTGAAGAGCATAGAGAGAGCAAAGAGAGGAGCCAGGGACAAAATATAATCCCCTAGGAAGGCCCCCAGTTACCTACTTCCTCAATCCATGCCCTGCTTCCTGCATCCCGCCTACAGATACATCACAGCCCAGTAATCCTTTCAGATTATTAATCCATCAAATGGATTAATCCACTGATTAGGTTATGGTTCTCATAATCTAATCCTTTTTTACCTCTGAACACTATGACATTCTCTCCTGAGCCTTTGGGGGTACTTCATATTCAAACCATGACACATGCCAGTATTTTTCAAGGTTAATTCTTCATATTTCCCAATTAAAATGGCATCTGTCAACTGATTTAGTCTACAAACTCAGTTTTAAGGAAGTTTACATTCTAGGTGGGACAATAAACCATTTACATATCTAGACAACTCTATGCCGACATAAATGTGAAGGCATTCACTACCTATGTTGGAGACATTTAATAAAGGAGAGAATGACACTCTGAGAAAAATTAATTTTAAAAAGTTCAGTAAAAGAATAATGATGTAGAGGAAAAATAATAGGCCCCTTACAAATTGTATAGAGAAATTTGTTAAAACTCCATGAGATAGTTTCT